CTAACCCTCAAGCGATTTCCATCGGACAGTGAAAATGAATAGCTAGACATAAGCCGATACGACACAGAGTGCCAGTCGGAACAAAGCCCCACTGCATTGTGTTTGAAGTCAGAGGCAGCCTCGGTGTGACGTAGGCTTAATGTGACGGGGACAGCACTGGGGGGCGGGTTATATTGGTGGTGGGGGTGACGAGAGCTGTTAGGCATGGTGGTGAGAGACAGGTGAAGAGCACGGGTGCCAGACCGCGCGCAAACGAATGTGTCCTTGAACGTCCCTACTACCGTGTTCCTGATTCCGCGCCCTCGCTTCAAGCTTTTTTGTGTTTTTTTAGTTAGAGGATCTGTAAACGCAAAGACTTCTGAGACTCGAGGCCATAATTGCTCTGTTTTTTTTGCCCGGGACACCGTCCAACAGCGGTTTCATAGTATCTGACCAAAGAGGTCCAGATTCCTTCCTCGTGCAGTACATAATTGCCAACCCTAGACAAGAAACAGGTAATAAACGATCAGTGCACAGGTTGTGACGCTCATGAATCCAGCCTACAGGTGGAAAAGACATTTCATATTTTCCAGGTGCGTCCTACAGCCACTACACCGTTCCAGTGGCTTACACATCGCTACAAGTAATAATTCCGCAAGGAGAATTATTGATTATATCAAATTCATCTGAGTATCATGAAAGAAGCGTTCATCTCCATACTTCCAACTGCTTTTAATTCCTTCATTTGCACTAAGAAGACAAGAGATCAAAAAGAGCCCATGGGATTCAGTGGTTCTGGCACAGTCTGCATTCTGTTCCCTAAAGCAAGAAAAGGAATAGATATGTCGTCAATCAGGGAAATCCATTGTCCAGTATTCTCTGCGTTGAAGCCACACGGAGACTTAAAGCTGAACATGGAACAATCTGCATAGTACATGAGTTGTGGTGAGCTTCACGGCGACCATTACACATACCCCACGGCCAGATGATAGTGTTCTACAAAGAGTCCAAATTTAGTCTGTCGCTGAAAGACAGCAGCGCAGCAGAAGACTGCAAAGCTGGCCCCGACCCCCGCGTGGCACGAAGACCGCCTTGCTCACTGCCCGGACTCTCTCCACTGCGCAACGGAGCTCGGCAAAAAAAAGTGTTTACTTTTCAATAGCATGGTATTCACACAATCAGAATCAAAAGTTGGTATGACACCGAGCCGGAGCAGAGAGTCTACTCTGAGCTCCGTACCATCCACAAATGTTTCCAAAACAGTACAATTAAGCACTAAAGAGGGAAATACACTCAGTAGGCAACTTTGATGTGCCTAAATCAATATATAAGCCTAGTAGTAGAAAGATAAGGATCATACCAAAATGTGAAGAAATCAACCATGAGCACAAAGTATTGGAAAAGGAAAATCAAACAATTCATGATATGTAAGACCATGTGGACAGTCGCATCTCAACAGTAATGAAATCTAAAAGTGAGTATGAAATTGCCTGCCTGTCCTGCAGTAGCCCTAACGACAGGGGGGGCTTTGCCTTGGGGGGGGGGTCTCCCCAACGCGGGGACTCTTATACCTGGGATATATTGTACTTGGGAGGGGGGTGGGTCAGGGGGGATGAGGCAGGTACGGGAGTGCAGAGGGGGGGTCCCCCGCACCAACAGTAAATGAGCAGTCGCGTAGTTTTCTGAAGGAGGGGCTCAGAGGTGAAAGACAGGTGATAGGAGGGGGGGAGGCGAGACCGTGGAGAGAAAGTGGGGGGGGGGGGTAAGCAAGCAGATCCGGAGCGGGCTAGATGTTCTGACAGCACTGCATCTTTGGTTTGTTCTCAGTGGGCTGCACCTGGATGTTGACCACGTTGTTGCTGGGGGACATGTCGCTCTCCTGGCGCTCCGACATCTGCTTCTGGGACACGATACGGTAGATCTCTGGGGGGGGGGTTACATTCTGTTAAACTCTTACCATGTCCAGCTTAAAATCTGCCACAGACAGCGCACAGAAGGTTGCTTTTGCTGAATTATTTATACGTTTTTAGAATCAGAAACGGGTTTCTTACCAAGTAGGTGAAAACATACAAGGAATTTGTGTTGGTGTTTTGGAGCATACATAAACGTACATACAAATTCAAATAAAACACTGATAACAAACTATTTTAAGAAAACTATAATAACATAAAAATATAGCAATAATTACACTGTTTACAGCTTGCTTTCAACTCTGCGTGCATTTTTCTGCAAATATTCATATTTGTCTTCTTTATAAAACTTCAAGCAGCAGCTCTTGGATACTCAGACCACAGGATTATTCTTTATCTATATATTTACAGAAGGCATGTGCCATCTTTTAAAATGTGTATGACCCTTTCAGTCCTATGTTAGCATGGCTAACCTACAGCTAAACGTGCTGATTAGCTTAAGATAAAAGGCAGCAAGATGCTCCCCTCCTCCACAGATAACTACTTTCTCTGACAACTTATTTGAGAAGTGCATTGCTAGAAAACAAAAATGTAGGTTTTAAGTTAGTGTAGATGTGAATATACTACCTGGGAATGGCACCACTTTACCAATGTCTCAAAACAATGGAAACGCGCATGCTAACACGGCTAATTAGCAGCCACAAGACTTCCCAGATATACGAGGGCTGTGAGCGGGGTAATTCATTTACAAGTGATTGCCCTGCGGTGAATTTTCTTGGTTCAAAGCCTAAGACTTAATCAGCAAGACTATAAAACAACTGGAAGTGTCACATTTTGCTTTAAATGACCTGCTGTACTGTCTAACCAAGGACAAAGCAGAATGACTTTTGTTGAGAGACTATTTCCTTTTAGCAATGTATGATAGACTTTGGGCTGGAAAATGTACATTTAGGAAATAGGATATGTACATTTTATATTTCGTAATACAAAGCCATATTTATTAAATGTTCTCAGTAAGCATCTACACACTCATAATATAGGCGGTGGTGTGCACATTGCTTGTTAGATGCGGTGAATCAATCAGCTGGGAGTACACACAGTGTGGTTTTTGCTTTGTCCTGCAGCTGTAAATGCTGTAGTG